AATGTGCGCTAAACCTGATTGCTATCCCCAGTATGTAGTCAATTAAATTATTATCGGTCTGGTGGCGTAGAATTCTCGACTAGAGAAGCAAGTTAGTGGTGATGGGTTAAAGTAGTAAAAGCGTTGACGTAAGTTTTTGATACGAAGCAAGTTAGTGGTGATGGACTAAAGTAGTAAAAACGTTGACACAAGTTTTTGACACGAAGCAAGTTAGTGGTGGTGGACTAAAGTAGTAAAAACGTTGACACGAAGCAAGTTACTGGTGATGGACTAAAGTAGTAAAAACGTTGACACAAGTTTTTGACACGAAGCAAGTTAGTGGTGATGGACTAAAGTAGTAAAAACGTTGACACAAGCTTTTGACACGAAGCAAGTTACTGGTGATGGACTAAAGTAGTAAAAACGTTGACACAAGCTTTTGACACGAAGCAAGTTACTGGTGATGGATTATAGTAGTAAAAAATGTTGACATAAAGCTTTTCTCATGTAATTCTAGTAATAGAATATCGTAGGCAGTCTTTGATCGATAATAATCTATACATTGTACAATGGATAGCTATGTAACTGAGTAGTGAAAACGGTTTAATGGCTATCTATCATCCTCTTCCACTTGTACAGTGTACTTAGTCGTGGCAAATGAGAATAGGAAGGAAGACTTTTAGAGAAAATTGATTTGACAGTATACTTCACAAGTCTAGGTAGTGGATATCATTTTTCAGTTTAACTATTTGTGCTAGTAACTCCAAACTCTAGACAATCTGTCATCGATATCGGTGGTGTTTAGATTACTTAAGGGCCACCTATTCCAATATTATTCACATGGATCAATACGAGAAAGAATGGCATCGTAGACACAATGAAATGCAATATAATTATACAAACCATAAGCAAGTACGATTAGAAAGGAAAAACAAGAAAAGTACACTGCAGTCTACTCCACTGTGCAGAATTAAACAACAAAACGCCAACGATAAACCCTCGGTGATGATTTCCCCCCAAAATGCTGATCGATTACTGATATTATTGTACAATACTTAATTTTTTCAGTGTTTACCAGGGTCTATGAAATGCGATGTTTTGCCTTTCTAGAGTAATAATGGATGTCACGAAAAGTGTATAATATATGCCTAATAACACTACATTTTTTCAGTGTATACCAGGGTCTATGAAATGCCATGTTTTGCCTTTCTACAGTAATAATGGATGTCACAAAAAGTGTACAGTATATGCCTAATAACACTACATTTTTTCAGTGTATACCAGGGTCTATGAAATGCCATGTTTTGCCTTTCTACAGTAATAATGGACATCACAAAAAGTGTACAGTATATGGCTAATAACACTACATTTTTTCAGTGTATACCAGGGTCTATGAAATGCCATGTTTTGCCTTTCTACAGTAATAATGGATGTCACAAAAAGTGTACAGTATATGCCTTATAACACTACATTTTTTCAGTGTATACCAGGGTCTATGAAATGCCATGTTTTGCCTTTCTACAGTAATAATGGACATCACAAAAAGTGTACAGTATATGGCTAATAACACTACATTTTTTCAGTGTATACCAGGGTCTATGAAATGCCATGTTTTGCCTTTCTACAGTAATAATGGACATCACAAAAAGTGTATAATATATGCCTAATAACACTAAATTAGTGTATCGTTTATGTGTAATAATACAATAAGACAGTCCTCTCTAACCGAATGGAAACAGTTTAGCAAGAATAAAAGCAGAGTACAATAGGTTAGGATGCATTACCTTCTTTAATGTGTAAAGTACATGGACTATCATTTTATGATTTTAGAGATGATGTATCCAATCCGATTGATTACAGTTGAAATAATACGTATATCCTTCATCTTTTTTACTTATCCTATCAAGCATCAAAGTAGCATAAAAATAGTTTACGTCAATTTTAATAATTCATATCAATGAAGTGAATTGAATTTGGTCTGTAGACAGGCGTAGCAGATGGTACAATGGAGTAAAGAAAAAATGATAGCCCAACAGGAAGTACAAATTACGTATATAGCATTATTGATTCTTTGATCTACGACAGTGTTGTAGATGGAGTAGAATCTCGTGCATGGACTATTACAATCACACGCTTTTTGTATAGGCAATCTGAACTTGTGGTAGATATGATCTACCGGTTAAATCATGCCAATTGTCGCTGTATACTTGAATATCAAATATCCTTTGCTAGCATGTTTAATGTCTATGTGTGACTATAGACTTCTCGGTAAGTAGAGTAACTTGAGTGTTGATTCCCGATGGATATTTGTTAACATTGCTAGCGTACCTTCATACTGAATGTTAACATCATGGACAGTAGACATTAATGAAGTAAAGTTAATCATAATAATAATGTATGGGGGTAATCGACTCGTATTATCGGCAATTACAAGATTGGCTAAACGACATTAGCCTACACATTATTACCCTTTTAACCTTGGTTCAGTTGAGATGATGAGTTCGGCTTAAGGGTTACATCCTATTATTTTAGTTTAGAATTGATTGTCCAAGAATAATTACAAGGATAGCCATAAATTAATTTAAGGCAATCAACCCTATCTATTAACGTAAATATGCAACTGTTCGTTTTCGAATGACAGCTGTGACTTTTTGACTACATTAGAAAAAAAATAGATTTTGTATAGTATACTGTATTGAGAAACAGACAATCTAATTTTACGCAGGAAGTAATCAACTGCAGGCTTTATATCTCCCTTAATGATGATATTGACTCCATATTGATTAGCCTAAAAGCTTTTTATCAATCTCTACCGACGTATATTATGTTATACGAATATTGACTGTATTGCACAGCGACGCTTTATAAGTAAACGGTTACACGGAGTATTCTTACGCTTTCTGAAATAGTTCAAATGAATGATTATTGATTTAACAGTTATTAAATTTTTAAAATTTTCAAAATAAATAAGTATTGTCAGTACTATGCGATCTGTAGTGTGTGTACAGAATATCAAACAAAAACGAATCCCGTATTTACTGGCTAATATATACCTAGAGGATTATTTATGTCAAGTTGTAATTAGTTACTTATCACCATCGCTAATGTATGCGTAGATGATTATTTTTTGTCAAGTTTTGATTAGTTACTTATCATCATGAACTATGATAGTAACCAGGGCTATGAGTATTCGTTGGTTTGGATAGATGAGAGAGAACAAGAAGCTGTTTCTATGGCCCTAGGGTGATGAATGAATCTTGAAGCCAAGTTAAATTGATAGAATACGCACAGGACGTAAAAATAGGCCCTCCGAATGAAGATCTCTTTCTGCCGTGAAATACGATTGACTGTTCTTAATTTTAAGCTATTTCTTCGGTACCTGAGTGATGACTGGATCTTTGAGCAAAGTTGAACTGATAGAATAGACACAGTACTTAAGATTAGGTCCTTCAAATTAAATTCTCTTCCCGCCGTGAAATATTATAACTTTCTTGATTTGAATTGGAATCCGTCTAAATCGTTGGTGTATTCGACATGTTGATGATCTAAACTGTAGCTTATTCTTGTTACAGTTGCTATGCATACATAAAAATTTGTAGCTAATTATATACCGCGCAAATATATTAAGTTCTAGATGGTATCATGACTAGTCGTTTTAGTGACCAAATCATGCAGATACTTTGCGTTTACTAAGGGTTGGTCTTGCTCACAGTGACAAATCTCGACGGAAATATGTGGTTTAGGATTTCTATATTAATCTACGCGTAACGTCGTATAGCACTATTACCTTCATGATTACCTGTTACTTAATGTAATTATGTGAGGACGCTAACAGAAAAGCGTAAATTATATTAAATGGGGAATGATGTTTGTAGGTCTTGTAATAATTTTGTATTTTTGGGTTGCTAATAAGAATGGGTGGATAACTGACAGAGATTGAATCTTGTTCACGAATAATTACATGCGAGTATAATATAATTATTGTAGGTAATCGTACTATTCAGTAGAATTAACTCTTATCCAATATTATCAATCAAACAACAGTACTACAGTACATTGGGGGATTTATTCTGTGTAAATGTTGATTGTACTTTGTAGAATAGCTAATTATGCTCTGTTTACAGCTTTGATCTTCCTACATTTTTTCTTCATCATACATAGCATTAATTTTTCTCTGCTCTGAACAATACATAGACGAAAGTAACAGCTTTTCCTTCATTTGCCTTAATTAGCCAAAAATAAGAAAAAAAATTCTGTATTTATCATAGTATTCTCATTGCCTTCATAATAGAGCGTATGATAGCTTTACTATGCAAGCGCAGTGCTATAATGCTCAAGTTCTATAGCACGGTAATAGTGGACGTTTTGGATGCAGTTGTAATGATGATGAAGTATAACATACTTGATGAATAAAGCGTAAGATAGCTTGACTTTGCGAGTGCAGTGCTATAATGTTGACAAGTTCTATAGTAGTCCTTGGTAATAGTGAACGCTTTGGATTTAGTCGTCATAATAATCAAGTATACGTATAACACTCGATAAAGTATAATCTATTATTGGTTTATTCCTTTAAAAAGAACGTCGAGAATTTGTTATTGTTACAGAAAATCTTGAATAATACTATACATTATACAGTATACGTATACGGTACTTTGGGCTTTGTCCATCATTTATACATTTAAGATTAGAGTAACTAAACCAAGAGCTTGATGATCAGAATAAATAGATGAGATCATCTTAATATTACTGTTACATATGACTATTTAGAATTGTATCAGTGTTTTCATTCTCGTGTACATCAGTTCATATCGAAAATGCATCAAAGCTGTTGAAAATTGAGTTTTTTACTCCACAATTGTTTGCTGTATTAGGAGTTTATTATATTATGCGCATATAGATATGAAATACGGCATTGTATAAACTGGGATATAGCCAGTGAAAGACTATTGCAGCATCAAATTTCTGTCTCTATCAAAAGAAGTTATGATATCCTAGATAAAGTTTACAAAGTTTTCGTCTAAATGCATTCAATTAATTTGATAGAATGTATTGAAAATTGTCTAATTCACGGCTTGAAGAAAAGAGCTGGCGGTTGGCTAAGGAATCTATCATCACATGCTCTGTTAGTAAAGCTTAGCAAGAACAGTCAGCTTGCTGCAAACTTACTAGAAAAGAGTTATATGGAAGATGGGGGCTTCAGAGGTAGAAGTGATTCAAGCTTAAGCCAATCCAGGCGTAAAATTTCCGAAAAACAAAAAAGTGTTTCACATATTCATCCAGCTCTGGCTAAGCATCGATGGATTTTGATAGCTCTGATGGAAAGGAAATTAATTCCAATTATAGAAGAATTAATGAGAGTATCAAGGTATTAGAATCAACAGCATTGCAATGATAGTACTTAATCGGGCATAAATACCTCATAAAAATACCTATAAAATAGAATAAGATTGCCTAGATAGTAATGTACTCAAAACTGTACGTACTGTATATCATGAAATATAGGCTTGGCTATATTGATCGTAATGATTCGCATGTTGTAAAATTAAAAGTAAATCAAAGATATCAAAGACGTAAATATTAGCGCTGATGATACAAGATTAACACTTATTTCGTAATATATTAGCAAATTCTATGAAAGTGAAGCTTTGATGCTGCACACGGTTGATGGCCCTTTACTTGTTAACTTGATTGGTAAGCATTTAATATGCCTGATATCATAATGTATTTCTTATGTAAAAGCGATATTGTAATATACAGTATATGCTACATACTAATCAGTATCATTTCGCATATTAAAATAACAGTCGGTGTATGCGCTCTTGAATTTACTCGTATGAAAACTCCTGATAATGTATGGTCTGATCCATCTGCTGAAGAACTAGTTAAACGTGATAGGTAGACACAATAGAAACTGTAGACATCATGCATTACCATTTAATTTATTCTATTTACATAACAGAAATCAGTAATAACTAACACTTGTATACTTTTCCTTCTGTTTATAAAATAATTAGAATTCATTCTACAGAATCGTTCTCCAGGATGAACTCCCAAACGAAACCTACACTAGGAAAGGTAATGTATCATCTAATCATTGAAAACCTTCATGGATTATAGTTACGAGTATATATTGTCGGTTAATTTAATTATAATTTGTATAGTGTTTCTGCATATTTTAATTCGTCTGTATATAAATATTTTAGATGAATAGCGCAATATCTGTGGATGATATTCGATCAAAATATTCCGCGAGAGATCATGTAGAATCGATGCACCAGAACGGTTCTGCAACATTACTGTACGGCAAAAACAATGTCCTTGCTCAGCCGGTATGTGACATGAATATAGGAATCCCAGGAATTTTATTTGCTTTTTAAGCAATTTTTCATTTATTGCTAAACCTACAGAAAGATGGTATGGAACCTGTTGCCGGATATTTATCACTGCACAAAACAGACCTTCACTTGCTGCTGAAATGGACTCCGAATCAGCTAATGAATGCTGGCGAGAAATATAACGAAAAGTAAACCATACAATATAATATCATTGACGAACAATATCGTAAAAGAACGTATTTTGTTTACTAAACGTAGTGCACAATTTTTCATAAAGTCTCATACTAATTCGGAATTTATTTTCAGTATTTTGTGGGAATATGCTATGACAATTGATTTTAGTCAAATCATTTACCTTCATGTACATCAAAGTAAGTTACTAAAGTTAAGTTGCAAGGTTGTATATATATTGTTTCGCATATAAAGCACTTCTCTAAATTGAAGGGCTAATCATTTCTACTTCTCGCTTATCAATGTATTAGGTAACAATAAAAACTCCGTTATTTTGGTTGGATTTGATGGAGTGCAATATAAACCGTTTATTTTTCCAAAGGGTGGTGCGATGCTGTCATTTTTGTCTTGCTTGGAGAGTGGCATTCTACCCTATGGAAAATTTGATCCACCGCTATTTACAAAGAAACGTGGGGGTTTACGATCTAAGAGAAGCAGCAAATTTGCTGCAAAAAACAAAGACAGAATCAACAGCGATGATTATTCAGGGTTGTTGAAAGAACTCTCATCTGATAAGGGATCTGATGGACTAATGAATTTTGTGTTTCGCATAATTACTACAAATGAAACCAAAAAAACTAGTAAGTTCGTTTCAGTTTTTAAATTTTCTACCAAGGAACTATCCTAGTAGTTTGAGAAACAACAAAATATTAAATTTACTGATGCTATATTTCTACTTTTTATCAAAATCTGCATTTGAAATGGTATATGTTTATAAATAGAGCTATCTCGAAGGAGAGCAGCTGCAAAGCTATTGAGAGAAAAGCATGCTGAAGAAGTAAAAGATGTACCTGCAGAACCTTTTGCAAACATGTATTCAACTTCTGAACATAATCTTCAGGCTTCTTCGGATAAGTAAGTATAAATGTTAAGTTCAAATGGGCATAAAATATATATACTTTTATATCTTGTGTATGACTAAATCGGAAAAATATCGGATATTTTTATTTTAGGCAATCAATAAAGTCCCTATGCGATAGCATGAGAGTTCAGTTACTTTCACGAGCTTTCTATGGATGTAAGGACCAGATAAACAATATAGAAGTATTACATAGTTTTATTAATAGACCGATTTTAAAATACATACTTTGTGATTTAATAGGGCTCGCTTACTGTCGCCATCTATCAACCGTAAGAATCCATTTATCAGGGCTGGTACATGAAAAAAATATTTCTATAACGCAAACATCAAATACCTCAGCTGGTATCACCGAAAAAGTATGGAAAGAACTGAATAGCTCCGGAAAGGTAAGTTAAAAATTATAATATAAGCTAGTACTTAATCAGAACGACGTATAATGAAGTGTCCTATAATTCGAAACTTTGAAAAATTTTGCCTTGGCTACATTTTTAAACGTCGACATATAGGTCAAGGATGAAGAAGAAATCATGAAACTCACTTACTTTGGAGGGGTTGAACATAGTATAAGGAAGGAGGTAAAACAAACCCTTAGTAACCTTTAATGAAATTCTTAACTTTACAATATTTTACTATGCCGATTTTATGTTGATTGTCTCTAATTGTAATTAAAGGTGTGGCCTTACTTACTTGGACATTACAAAGTAGGATTAACTGAAGATGAGAGAGAAATGATTGATAAAGCATCAGAAAAATCCTTCCGGCGTATTTTAGATGAATGGCAAGCTTGTGAGACTTATTTGTTAGGTAAAGAAAAAGGCAAAGATGATATATTTATGGATCAAGATAACGATAGTTCGTCGTTAGAGTATAAAGGTATTTTCAATAATGATAGAAGTAAATTATTTAGTGGCTTTATTGCATTTTATATTGTAAAAGTGCAAATTTGCAATTTTATCTGATTTTTACGTTTCTGTTAATTTTGTATTGTCCATTAGAAATTAATGGTACCAATGATTTAAATCAGGAAATAGATGAAGCTGATGCAAGATCTTTAAGCAAATTTGATCCCTACTCTGATTGTTATTCAAGCATTAGTATTGATACCCTCGATAGAAGTGAAATTGATAGTGCATTCGGATCGGTTGACAACAAATCTAACGGAATGTCATCGAGCGAAAGTAGAGATAATGCAACAATAAGTAAAGGAGATAGCTTTAAGAAAAAGGTGAAACTGCTAAGGAAAGGCAGCAGCTCTTTTGAAAGGGTTAGCGTTTCGTCAAATGGTTCTTTCAATGTAAGTATAGTCAATGTGGACGTTAATATTCCATTTTACAGTTATCATTACCAGAAAAGAAGATTTATGTCTACTATGAAATATTTATATTGTCGTATTTATGCTATATGGATTGATTAATTTCATTTGTGATTGCTTTTAGTCGGAAGTTTTGGAAATATTTTCTAGCAATTTGCACCGTATCGATAAGGATGTAATGCGTTGCGATCGTAATTATTGGTATTTTACCCCCAATAATCAGCATAATAATTTACAAAAATTAAGAAATATAATGTGCAGGTTAGTATAACAAAACCAAGCTTCTTTCGAGGGTGATATCAACTAGTTATTCTTATTGTTTGAAATGTTATGCATCATATCCGAGTTAATGAAGTAATAATTACTTCCATATGATTGATTATAATTTATAGCTTTGTTTGGGAACATCTCGATATTGGTTACGTACAGGGAATGTGCGATTTGGCTGCGCCATTATTAGTAATATTCGATGATGAACCGAAAAGTTACAGCTGCTTTTGCTTTCTGATGAATCGAATGGCATCAAATTTTCCGCATGGTGGTGGTATGGATACACACTTTGCAAATATGCGCTCTTTAATTCAGGTTGGTTATCTTCATTGCTGCGATATATATACATTTTGAAATTGCGTAATCCAGGCTAATTATCTGCTAGATATTGGATTCAGAAATGTTCGATTTGATGCATCAGAACGGTGATTATACGCATTTTTACTTTTGTTACCGTTGGTTTTTACTTGATTTTAAACGAGGTAAGATTGATTATATATATAAACTACAAGAAAATGTCACTATCATTTTCTCAATGATCGTCTAAATGCTTAAATATGCCATAATTATTTTACTAAATATGTATTTGTTGATATGATTTCAGAGCTCGTTTATGATGATGTCTTCTCGGTATGGGAATGCATTTGGGCTGCTCGATATTGTGTTTCTGAACATTTTGTTCTTTTTATTGCTCTAGCATTGGTCGAAAATTATAGGTAGTGATCACTGTACTTAGCCTGTCCGAGCTACTGTATTACCCTTATTATCTCGATATCAATTATTAAGAAATATTATTTTATGCAACACACAGATATATCATTCTGGATAATAACATGGATTTTACGGATATCATAAAGTTCTTTAATGGTATGTAACTATAAAATTAATCATAAGTTTAATAGAATAATAACAGTTAAATTTGTAAATGTATCACGAAAATTTTATTAGCGATCGGATTCATTGATCGATGCAACTCACACTTTTTTATTTGTTTGTTTTGAAAAGAAATGGCAGAACGACATAACATGAATGCGGTATTAAATGAAGCACGAACTTTGGTTGCAAAAGTACAAAATTTAATCGATACAAAGTATTGAGCCCGAATGGATATATTATGGATATGATATTTTAATTAGGATTATTCAATAGTCATTTTAGAACGCGCTTATAGCCACCTTTTAATCCTTGATGGTTATTTATTTAGTCGTTTAGCTGTTTATATTGTAAATATATATATATATATATATTTGATGATTTGACGTAATGTTAACAATTTCAAAGTGAGTATGTAGAAAAAATAGTCAATATGGCGATGCTTTACCTCGCAATGCCTACCTTGTAATACTTTATAGTCACCAAAAAACTATGTAAGAAAAATATTCTATATCTAAAGTACGGTACCGTAATAAATGAATATGACTTCAGAACTTAAAATAATCGGTAAAGGTGAAGATTAAACCGAATACAGCATAAATTACTGTTGCGACTATCGATTATTTTTGGTCTAAACTTTTCTTGGATTGTAGATAGATATGATAATAATTATATATAATTATTCCTATTCATACATACGTATATATACAAGTATGTAACATATATATTAAGTGGTATTTAAAAGATGTAACCGCGGATATTGGTAATAAAGGCGATATTGAATACCTGATCATTGATTTGATTTATATATCGGATGTTTCGAATGGAGTTTATGTGAAGAATTTACAGAGTATCTTTCTTGGCATTGGCATAAATATTGTAATTTACATGTAATTACAATAATTGGTATGCAGTATTTAGGATGTGTTCCTTACGTGATATTTACAAAGCTGTAGACCCTTGTATTTCTTGTATGGAAACGCCATACAATTATAATAAATAGAAGTATACTCCGTGCAATCCTAGTTTAATAATAGGGTTAATAGCTAAAGAGTGCCTTGTAGCAACCTCCGTAGAATTGCTACATCATCAAGAAATGCGACTAAATCACACAATTTTTAATTATCAGAAGTTAGTATGTCACAGGATACAGTATCTCCATATATAGGTAAATTAAAAGAATTCTTATTTTTTCATTTATTTTGATACGTATGGGCAGTATCTGGAGATGATCCATGGATAGCACTTCAGTGCTATTTTTACAGATGTGCATCATACGGCCTTTAACTTCTCTACTAAAATGTTCGGTTTAATTTATATGTGGAATAATTGATAAGATTGATCAAATAACTGTTTGCTATTAACATATTGCAAATTGGAAATGTTTCGTTTATAGATCTGTAAGCATACTCGTACTATAAAAATAATATTCTTCTTCATGATAGCCAAATAAATGCTTTCAAGTATTCACCAATAGGATTTATCGTCATTTTATTATCATTGCAATCATTTAATGAATAACTGTAACGTCATATACAATCCGAAATTTTTTTAATTCCTGTACAGTACGTAGTTAACGGTAATATCGATAAAGAAGAAAATGACCTTGAATACACTCTACATATCATCTTATGATACATATCAATGAATTAGATTGCTATCTACTCGTATATTTTTCCCCTATTTACAACCTCGGAAAAGCATTTACTAGGCCAGTATATGCAGGGTATAGAATAGCTCACTAGATGACAGTGTAGTTGAAAAGTTAGAATGTAACAAGAGATGCTCTTTTGAATTAATTGCCGTATAATTTCTTGCTTTTTACCTATCTTATTTAGTTTTGTTAGCAATCAGCGTTGAAATTTGTTTTTCTTGCCACGCTTTGATGATTTGACGTCGTTGTCTATACTTTCCATCATGACATCGTTTCCTTGTAATATAATCACTTCGTCTTCATCACTCTCGCTCATTTCCTCATCTGATGTGTTGGATATCTTATTACTTTTTTTGTCTAATGTTTGCTGCTGTTTTGTAAACAAGTCTTGATCACGCTGGGCTATTTGCTGATATGCTATAGGTATAACCTTGTTGTTGCTGTCATCTTGATCGGCGACTTCCCAGGTTGAGGACCCACCAAGGCCAATTTCAGCTGTATAATTATCTTTGACAATAATGGTATCTTCCTTTTCAGTCATTGATTCTACTGGAATTTGTTTTTGATCATTACTAAATTTACTATTATCTGAAATGATGGATTCTGATAGTTCGATTCTACTCTCTTGGTTTTCAGTGTTTACGACATGATCATCTTCTATATCCATCTTATCTATATTCAAATTCGGATCGTTTAACATGCGCTGGACTAGCTTTATAATTTCATTGGCTTTCGTTAAAGCAATATTACAACAATGTAGAACCTGGTCTACTTTTAAAGTGACACCGCCAGTAAATTGGATTGTACAAATTTCACGATGTCGATTTAATGCCATGACTAATTTACTCTCCATGACCGCTTCTTCTTGATCAGTTGGATCGATTGCCATGCAACCATTACCGTGGAAAAATGCAAAAGTGATGCATAAAGGCATATGATGTATGTTCAAAGGGATATAATCTTTTTCATTGCGGTTATGAATGGTTACATCTTCTCCTACAACAGTAACTTGAGGCCTTCGAAAATGTGCTAGAGAAGCTATTGCAGCAATGCTAGCGCAATCTAAGATATTGCCAACATCATCTAACACATGTATCGCGACACGGATAAACCATACCTTTTCACCGGCTATAACGCATAACGATTCGAGATCGATGGCTGCAGATTCGACAAAACATTGCTCTAAACGACGTTCTAATGCAATTCTACGATCGATAACATCGTTAGAATGATTAAGAGGCGATGCCATCGGTGATAATTCAACATTAAAGAGTAATCTTCCTTCTTCAGGGCGTGTAATAGGTCGAATTAATTCGCAAGTAGTGACAGCCAAAACTCGACTAGCACCGAGCTTAACTTCAGCAGTTCCATATTCGACACCAAATTGTAACTTGATCGGCCTGTAATCATATAAATTTCGACTATCAAGGCGCTGGCCAGATTTGATAGCATTTAAAATAAATTGGCGTTGACTTGTAGCTAAAGGGGTAACGGAGGCTTTCATTTCAGGATCTTTTTCTTGATTCTGCTCGAGATTTTTCTGATTCTTGAAGGTTTTCCAGGCAGTTGTGATTTCTGGATGCGCTTATATGCTAAAGGCTGCAGCTTACCAATTTCTGAAGGCTTATGGTACTACTTATTCAAGAGTGAAAATTCTATACTGTGTAGTGTATTATGTATCCTTTACCACTACTACTATGTGAGAAAACAGCAAGAAAAGTAACCTTGATACGTTCACTGACTATACTGTAGTATAGCAATTGCATTAGTGGATTGTACAGTATACTGCCAAAGGAAGGAATCCGTCAAATCCTCCTCCCGATCTTGCTGCATCCGTCCGAGGGTTAGTTACAAATTGAAATCGCCAATGGATCCATCATTTATGCCATTTCAATATGGCCTATGAGATAGATGGCGTATTTTACTTCATTATTTCGTTACTGTAAGTCTGTAGCAAGGGTATAAAATAGTAGGTGTTGGTAGTGTATAGAATGGCCAAGGTAAATGGATGGTTATGCTTAATAATGCTATGCTGTTGTCAAGGCATTTTTGCAGCTAAAATTGTCGCTTACTCGCATGAGTCGTTTAGTCATGCTGAAAATATTATGGCTATTGGTCGTGAAATGACTCAACGAGGACATCAATTCTCGTTATTGGTATCATCAATTACTGCCGAGAAGATCCATACTAGTGTAAAGGGTATCAAGATCGTACCGTATCCAGCAACTACCTCATTTCAACAACATGTCGAATGCATTTCAATGGTCATCAAGAATAAATTGAATGTTTCTTGGGAGTGCATGGGAATATTGTTTGGTAGTTGTGATGGTATCGTTTCTGATATGGAAGCAGTATTACAGCTGAAAAAAGATGCAGGTTAAGTATTAATAGGGGTTTACATTGCATTGTGATTTTCTACTGCACATCCGGCACAATCGTTGTAGTGATCGCATATAACTTTATATCCAAGTCAACGAGAGCGATAATAATAACGATTACTGTACGCTTATATGGAAACTCTAGTACTGCATGTTTCATTAATTATTTATTAAGCAAATAGCTGTGCAACACGTTTTCTTCTTCTAACAATTGCTTAAATAGATGGATTCAGTGGCATGTCGTGAATCATAAAACCTGTAACACTTAAATATATAGATCTCAGCTTTTCCCTGTTTACCTTTGAAATAGTCTTTTGGAGCTGAATGAAATGATTTCAATAAATTGATAATCTAAGCGTATTATTCGATGTCACCGTCGAATATCTAGAATTCTATAGAAAGGTAGTAGTCTAATTTACGAATTGATGGTAATGCCTAGATTATTAAAATTTTATTCGTAGCTAACTTGTTAACTATAAATTTATTCCCTTGGTCTAGATCTGCTATTAGTAGATATTACTTCAGTATGCAGCGGCATAGTGGATGGAATTTTGAATATTTCTAAAGTCATTGCTTATTCCCCTGCTGGCTTTATCGACCCATCGTTAAGTCGATTATTTCATATTCCTGCGTCTCCTTCTTACGTTCCAACTGTGATAGTAGATTATTCCAATAAGATGACATTTTTTCAACGTCTTCATAATAGCCTTACTTATGTTGCTATGGTTATACTGAGATCCGCATTTGATCCGTCTGTACAGGCAATGTATGAAAAATTGGTTAATTCATCCTTTAAAAGTTACGGTCAACTTCGTCCTAGTATGCTTATTGTTAGTACAGATTTTGCTATAGATTATCCACGTCCTATCACTCCGGCTACTAAAGTTGTTGGAGCTTTGTTACCGCATGCTCCTTTAAAATTACCCCAAGAATTGAGCGATTTTGCCGAGTTATTACATAATGATAGTCAAGATTTCGCAATTGTGTCTTTTGGAACGCTAGTTTCCAAAGCAATGGATAATATTATTGACTTTCAAGCTATAGGTCGTGTACTATCACGATTGCCGATGAAGGTCATTTGGAAATATCATCATCAGATTGATGATTTAGGTGATAATGTGAAAGTGGTATCTTGGTTTCCACAAAATGATTTATTAGCGCATAGAAATTGTAAATTATTTGTTACTCATTGTGGATTGAATAGTATGTATGAAAGTGCATATCATGGAGTGCCGATGGTGGCGGTGCCATTATTTGCAGATCAACCATCTAACGCTCAGCGAATTAAATCGGCTGGAATAGGAGAAATTGTATTGTTTAAGGAATTAAATGAACAATCTTTAAACGATGCCATTTTAAAGGTGTATAAGAATCCAGAGATGGCTACGAAATGCTCTACAATATCTAATATAATGAGAGACAGACCAGGTAACCGAACACCTGTTGAAGAAGTTGGAGACTGGATTGAGTTCGCAATAAGACACGATGGCGGGCGTCATCTAAATCTTGCAGCATCGCAATTAAGATGGTACGAATTGTACATGATTGATGTTGCTCTTGTCTTGATCATAATAATAGTGATGATTTATAAAATCACAACACGCCTTGCTAGTTTAACATATATTTTTACTCGGAATAGATTTCTATCAAGTTAAATGAACACCATTGTTATTATATTACTCTGGGAAAAATAATCTTAAAAACTATAGGGACATTAAGCGGCAATTTTACACTTATAATACCCGGTATCTTCCTTTACATTGCATTTTAATAATTTTGGATAATAATTATATTTTGGTATATATTAAGGCAATTTCTACACATATGAGCAGTAAAAAAATTTGAGTAGCTTAAGCTGTGCAATTTCTTACGTACTATTTATTGATAGGGTTATTCATATACAATACAACTATGAGGTAATCTTGCAACAAAATCAAATTTTTTACAATCATTTTATTCTTATACGTTGGTATGTGTAGAATTATTGCTGTAATATCATGTTTTTAATGTATTTATCTGTTACGTAATTTATATCACGATAATTATATATCAGAATAAATAAAAAGTATTATTTCATCGCTGTGATTATATATACGGATAAATTAAAACTATCCGGGATAGTGTTGTAGTTTGATGTAAGGATCAAAGCCATATAAAGAAATTACAAATCATCAGGTAAAGATTACTGCAGTAATTTCGATTAGTACAACTTTTATGTTGATGCTAGCTTTTAATCAACGTTCATTTGTCCTCATTTATAATAGAGAGATACTTTAATTGATCTTGCTGCATTTGGAGGCAAATTTGGTATTTCTTTGCGTAGTATCGTTGCAGTTCTATATCTAGGTTAGGTTGGATAATTTCACCAGCTGAACTAAATGTCGCCATGACAGTCTTTAGATCGTATTTGGGCAAGGCTGCTGATACACCCAACATAGCAGAACCTAAAAGAACGGAATCTTCTTCCTATCGATTAAACAACAATTTTTTATTATGGACAGAGTGTTTAAACACATTTCTAACAAAATAGCTTGGATGAATTACGTACTTTCCCTAAAACGATGGGACATCCGGTTATATCAGCATGACATCGAAGAAAGAGGCTATTTTTACTTAGTCCACCACAAGCTAGTAATATCTTTATTTCGTGTCCATCTTTTGTCATAGCTTCTACGATTTGTTTAGTGCCAAACTAAAGTATAATACGTTACTTTGGTTAATATAAATACTATCATATCACATTGACTCGTTATTCTTATATACGCGTACACGATAAATTAAATGAGGAATAACTTACGGCTAGACTCTGCAGGGTTGAAAGATATTGGATAGCTAAATCGTGTAGTTCTGATGCTAAGGTTAATCCGCAAATCATTCCCTTTAGATTATGATTTGCTATTGGCGACCGATTGCCATGAAAATCGGGAAGAATGTGCATATTTGTTGTCAGATAGGCCCAATGACTCTTAATACCTTGATCAATAATGAACTGATTGAGATAGTCATATATACTGGTATTTCTGTAAAAAAAATGGAAATTTTACGCTGCGAATATCTTTTACAAGTTGTAATATAACTAAACAATCATGCGAATGTAGGCTGTATTGCATTAATAAAGTTTTCTTCTAATTCACTAACTTTTCTTGAGAAAGCTCCTTCAGTGTTGGAAAGAAGGGGTGTTTCTGTATCATAAAATCAACCAGCTTTCCGGTGACACTTTGCCCTCCTTCATTTAAATATAAACCTGGTAAAATCACACTATTAAAAGGTCCCCAGACCCCGGCCACATAATGAGGGTTGGATGTAATCTATATACAGTTAGAAGGAAGATGATGTAGCTGAAGAACTAGATTACAGCACAATATTTTAATGTAATTGATAGGAAATGCATCGATAAAGTTAAAACTTTTTGATAAACTACGTTTAGGTTATAAAGTAGCATACCGCCATATGACATGTAGATGTGCCACAAATAAGAGATAATCGGGACGTTAAATCTTTATTCTTGCATTGCATTCTAGTTAAATCGATCCCAGCTATCCCTAAGCAACCAGCATAAGCATCAACTAATGACGCACCTACAGCAGTACCAACCGCCAGGCCAAGTTCTGAGGCAGCTTTGACTGTTAGGCCTTTTCCGATTGGTTGTCCAGGAAATGCAATATTCTTGCCTGATAAAAATAGAGTATGAGATATTCGCATATCATACTTAGTAGGGATAGTAGGATGCAATGATTTAACATATACTTCAGTTTAACTAGTTAAATAATCAACAAAGTGATTATTTTATCTTGGGATGCAATTGTCTACGGATTTCGTTACTGATGTACCTCCAATCCTTTCATAGCTCTCAATAATGAAGTCGTCTAAACCGATAGTTTGCCAGAAATCGTCAAGCCATCCTTCCATGAAATTGTCTATTAAATAGAAAATGTATAGTAATTGCATGGGCAAATTTATTGCCTAGCATTAATAGAATCATTCACTTAGAAATCATCTGCCCCTATATACGAGCTTGGGCTATATTTTATGCATGCAAGTGGATTAGTTACTTTACTGTACTGCGGTGTATAAGCATAACATAAACTGTACGATGACTGATTTAAACACACTGATTTGATCAGCGTTCATCTACAACAATATTAACGGCTAACCTTGCTTATCTTTATATTCGTAATTCCATTTACAAACCAGGCAGCATAAAGATCTAAATTGATATAATATCGATACCATAATGGTAGTTATCGACTTGTTACAGTTATGTCACACTAATAAGGTTTAAAATGGCGAATAGATTAGTTAACCTTGTAAGAGCTCCAGTTGCCTTAAACGATAAGAAATCAGGCAAATCGAAGAAATGGGCTGCTTTCTTCCAGCATTGATTGTGTAAATTCTAAAGCGATCATTTATGAAAATTTTTTTTCTTCAATTGCTATCATGCATGTATAGTAATTATTGTAATGATCTGTATCTTGTAATACCTTGTTTACATCAGCGATGTACAGTAATCCATTTTATGAGTACTGTAGTACTGTACTGTGCATCGATTTTAGAAACATGCAATATATTATAGTACATCATTCCACATTATGTAATCGCAATACTCAAACCAATGTGTTACCGTAAACTATCTACTAAGCTGTTTACTGTTCTTATGTGTATGTTACCTTTTTCAACCATAGCAATTTAGGAGCTTGCATCTCAGGTGATATCGTACCACCTAAATAACTTAGGAGATGATGCTCTGTAGCATTGATTAATTCCGCTTCTTTAATAGCTCGATGATCTAACCACATTACAATATTGCAATCAGGATTGGCATCTGGGGATATGGTCACAGGTTGTAATTGCTCGTCTAGAACTACCATAGAACATGTAGCATCGAAGCCAATGCCACCGATGGCATCTCGATCTATACCTTGTGTCACCTCCTAAATACGTAGTGGTAGTAGAAATGGCAATCAATGCTATAAAGAGATTCAATGATCTATTTGTAACAGTGATACTTGTTTACTACGATGAAATGCACATTAGAGTGGTGATGCATCATAGCAGAATGCGTTACATACATTATCGTTATTTTATTTAATCAGTATCTATTCGAATATACACGCAGACCGTTGCTTGTAACACGAAAAACAATCCGTTCCACTACCACGCCAGGTTGGCGATTTCAACGATTGCAACAAGCTCCTTAATATCGTATTGCCTTATCGAACAACACATTTAATCAACATGATGGGAATTTGTTGACAAACCTTGACTACTAAGCAGCATGCTTGCCAGATATTTTCTGAAGATTGTTGATAATAATCTTCTTTAGGTTGCCATATTTGTATCGATTGAGTGGCTCTACATTTGATACAACCTTTGTGATCGATCAATGCAGCTCTTACGCTGGTTGTGCCCACATCAACACCGATGAAATATCGAAATTGGCCTAATTCCATGAATTGAAAGGTTAAAAGAAGCTTTCAAATGAATCGGTGTGCACTATCACTTCCAATAGAATATGACAATTCTCAAGTTGTGCGATGACCACAAGTCTGTTCGCTGGTTCTCTCTTGGATTAGTGGTTACGATAGTATCTGCAGCAAGCAGAAGTGCTTTGCGCTGATCTTCTTCGCTATTTTACTGTAAACAAGGCCAGCTGCAACCTCCAAAACTCTGTCTGATGCCGTACAGAACTGTACATTTAGTGAGTGTACAAGCAAATCGTATAGTACCGAAAGAGTCGTTGGTTACAACTATGGTCCCAATACTGTTACTGTACTACTACGGTATAATCAACGATACTCCATGAATGAAATCATTCCATACTAAACTGCTGATCGTAAAAATCAAGACTAATTAATTGATGATATAGAATTATGTATAAATTATTTTTCATGGCATGCAAAAGTGCATGGACGAGTATGGAAGTTGCTAGCTGTTTATACTAAACTGCCCAATACCAGTGCAGTATTGATTGATTGATTTCATTAGGGGTTAATAGCATGCAAAAGTGCATGGACGAGTATGGAAGTTGCTAGCTGTTTATACTAAACTGCCCAATACCAGTGCAGTATTGATTGATTGATTTCATTAGGGGTTAATAGCATGCAAAAGTGCATGGACGAGTATGGAAGTTGCTAGCTGTTTATACTAAACTGCCCAATACCAGTGCAGTATTGATTGATTGATTTCATTAGGGGTTAATAGCATGCAAAAGTGCATGGACGAGTATGGAAGTTGCTAGCTGTTTATACTAAACTGCCCAATACCAGTACAGTATTGATTTCATTAGGGGTTAATAGCATACAAAAGTGCATAGACGAGTATGGAAGCTGCTAGTTATCTTATACGAAACTGCTCAATACCAATATTGATTGATTTCATCAAGGGTTAATAGCATGCAAAAATGCATGGACGAATATGGAAGCTGTTAGTTATCTTATACGAAACTGCTCAATACCAATACATTATTGATTGATTTCACAAGTCACTAGTGCAAACTCCCGTCGCTTTGCTGACGGTTTACGATAATGTGCTCATTTAACAGATAGCATTATCATTTGATAGACCTGGCAGAGGTTTAGTAACTTTATACCGTAATACATTATTGATTGATTTCATAAGTCATTAGGAGCATGCAAAAGTGCATGGACGAGTATGGAAGCTGTTAGTTATCTTATACTAAACTGCTCAATACCAATATAGATTGATTTCATCAAGAGTTAATAGCATGCAAAAGTACATGGACGAGTATGGAAGCTGTTAGTTATCTAATACTAAACTGCTTAATACCAATATTGATTGATTTCATCAAGAGTTAATAGCATGCAAAAGTACATGGACGAGTATGGAAGCTGTTAGTTATCTTATACTAAACTGCTTAATACCAATATTGATTGATTTCATCAAGAGTTAATAGCATGCAAAAATACATGGACGAGTATGGAAGCTGTTAGTTATCTTATACTAAATTGCTCAATACCAATACATTATTGATTGATTTCATAAGTGTTTAGGAGTATGCAAAAGTGCATGGACGAGTATGGAAGCTGCTAGCAAATAACAGACCGAATGAATTGAATCCATACTGTAGATAGTGTTGGATATTCGTTGCGAATACGATGCTGTGGATGACTAGAAGAAATCTTTGGTATTCTTCTGGTGGTCCATGACTTTGCATTGACATGAAGGTCTACCGGATTCCATGAATGAAATCATTCCATATTAATTGCCAATATTTTCACCAAGAATACGCCAATAATGAATACATACTTGTAGACATGCAGGGCTAAAACATCGTACAGATAGATAACCTTTATGGTCTGGGATTCAGTGAATGAAATCATTCCATACTAGACGGCTCAAGAATATTCGCCATCAACATACAATAGTGCATATACTCTTATATGCGTACTATGCATAGACTTGGCTAAGGTCTGGGTTCATTAGATGAAATCATTCCATGCTAGACAGCTCGATATCCACATTTTCACTAGCAGCATGCAAATAGCAAATAGTGTAGACGTAGAGTCTAAGATCAGCCACTCAATAGGTGAAATCATGTCATTCTACGCATCAATACTAACGTTATTTACACAGCATATTTTCATCGACAGTATGCAAACATTTTATAGTAACTCAAGCTAACATCATTAATGATATAATCATGCTGGACTACGAATCGATACTCGTCCACCAGTCCTGGCCTGGCCCATCCTGATTTTATTGATTTATTATTTTTTTCCTACGATACGATCGTACTTGTTTTTATTTGTTTTGCAGCATAAGGTTACTGGATCGTTTCTGACTTGTTATCCTCTTGTACCATCTTGTTGAATACGATATGACTATCGTCTTCATAAACCCAAAAATGGATGGAATGTTGAAGTTATCACAGTAAACTACCGACACACTATATGCGTCGATGTACAATACGTTCGTCGAGGCCCAATCTGCAGATGTTTAGATTAGATCCAATGCCTTAACATTCTGTGAAATGTTCATTTTTCTTAGTTCCATGAGCGGCTCGGGAATACCTCTAATAGTATAATTACAGATCGTGAATACTTATACCTTACATAAATCAATTTTGTAGTTGCTATATAGGGTCATAAGGAGTAATGTACTAGATTTTTTTTGAAATATCTAAAGTTCTTACTCCAAAGGTGGTGTGTAATAAGAGTAATGCACTTTTATGTAACAAGAGTGGCTAAAGGAAGCACCTTCTTGCATTGAAATACTCCAATTTTGTAGTTGCTATAGTGTATGCTGCAGGGACATAAGGAAAATAATCATGAATTTTTTCCCAAATCCTTGACTGTATTATACATCAAAGTTCTAGCAAATACCCAATTCTCATCGCAAAAGCCAGTATACAAAGTAACACCTACGGCCTAATTTCAGTGAAATACTAATTTCTTTCTCCTCATCTGATCGGCAAAATGTAGCCAAGTGAGTCTGACTCCATCATAGTTCTACTCCTTGTCTCCCACTCTCCACTTTGTTCCAGGTTGTTTTGAGCCATTAAAAGCCCCTAACAGTATAGTACTGTACCAGGAAGTACTTCACTATGATTTCTCCCCTCCAATTTGAGGAGAGAAATCTTAGTTGAGTAGTCCCTGCCGTGTTATTATTTTTTAGTATAGGGGAAAATTTTGAATTGTGGCTTCATTTTGAGAAAGAAATCTTGCTGGAGTCGTTCGTGCCTAACTGTACAGCGTCTTGACCGGTTTGGCTTGACGTTGTTGTTGTTTGTTTTTAATAGAGAGAAAATTTTGAATTACGGCTTCATTTTGAGAGAGAAATGTTCCCGGAGTCATTCGTGCCTAACTGTACAGAGTCTTGACCGGCTTAGCTAGACTTGTTTTTTTTTATTAGTAGAGGGAAAATTTCGAATTGCGACTTCATTTTGAGAGAAAAATCTTCCCGGAGTCATTCGTGCCTAACTATACAGAGTCTTGACCTCCGGCTTGGGTTGACGTTGTTGTTGTTTTTAGTGGAGGGAAAATTTTGAATTACGGCTTCATTTTGAGAGAGAAAGCTTCCCGGAGTCATTCGTGCCTAACTGTACAGAGTCTTGACCGGCTTGGCAAGACTTGTTTTTTTTATTAGTAGAGGGAAAATTTCGCGAATTGCGGCTTCATTTTGAGAGAGAAATCTTGCCAGAGTCTTTCTTGCCCAACTGTACAGAGAGCCTTGACCCCCGGGCTTGGCTTGACTTGCCATGGACGACCACTGGAGATGATTGGAGTCTGTCTACTCGAGCATAGTATCGACTAGTCTATGCTGCTATACATGGAACACTACCCTTACTAATATCCTCCATCTATGACTGTCAACACTAGAGTCGGTGCGACAGTCTGCCAGGTGTGTCGCATCAAGGTGACGCGTAGCAGAGGTAGTGGGCGGCGTGGTAGTGTAGCGTCTGCTGTCTCATCTTGCTAGTGTGCGCACGCTGAACGTCCATGGGCATACGATTTCTATCAACTGGGAAGTCGTCCATTGTACAGCTTACTCTACCGTCACGCATCATTCACTCGACGATCGCTTCAACCATCGTATCGAAGCGAGTCTATGGACTGACTGGACGTTGCACGTCAGTTCAATGTGGATCGTGTTCAAGCCGTCTGCATGGAGACGAAAATTTCCTACCTAATCCTGGAATATCAACATTAACTAAGATTAAATCAATAATATTACCAAATAGACTGCAACAATCATGGAAAGAGGATTCCTACCGCTTAATAAAAAGGAATATGAGAATTTACCAGGTGAAAAACGATCAAGTTATGCCTGCCAATGGTTGCAAAATTTACATCAATGGCTTATAGCAGCACCCAAGGTAGGACGGTAACGATAGGGTGTCTTCTTGTAGGAGGTAGCCCACTGATAGGATACATAGATGTTACGCTATTTCTTAAGCTAAATGGAAAGAGTTCATCTTCAATATGATTATAGTGATCCATTCTTGAATGTCGATCAATCATCACTAGGCAGTTATAAGATCAAAAACATCGGCAGGAAATTGAATTTCTCCCTTTGCTTTGAAGATGACAGTATTTCCACAACAGTGTTTTTATTCATCGACATCTTGTAGACTACTGTAGAGTGGATGTAGTATTGTGTTGATGGAGGCAGGAAAGAACATTGCATACAATCTAGTAAAAGACTCTATCTGCTTGTTCATGTATTCATAGTCAACAGTAGTGAAAGTCATGGAACTTGTATCGACTGCGAGATTACTTAAACAGAAGTAATCTCCAATTTCAATGGAGGATGATGTTGATGCTACTAGTTTCCATACCATATTTGTCTTTTACTGACCTCTAAAGTATGCCTTCTCCGCCACTTGATCATATTATACAAGACGTAATCATTCCTGGTAGTGGATCATCACCGTAAATTAATAATATATGACGCTCATTTACGGTAGATTGCAGTCATTTTAAACTAGCCAAATTGAACTAAATTGTAAATTTTTACCTTGACACATATCCTATCAATGATGATCAAGGATGATTGATAAAATTCTCTTGAAATACCAATAACATGCATTCAAACTTGTTTTATTCAAGGCTAATATCAAGCCTAAACAGAAAGAGATTGTCGAAACTTTGCAATCTCTATTTACTGAACCTGTTGGTCAACCTGTTCTTCATTTACTTGGTAAATGTTTGGCAACAGTTTACAGTGTTGGAGATACATCTCGATTATTAGAGTCGATCAATTACTGTGTCGATATTATGCGCCTAAAAGATGATTCAACTAATATCCTTGGTAGTAAATTGTAAGTACTTAATTAATTCATGCAATAGTATAACATAAGTCGAAATCAACTTTGTCTTATAATAGTTGCTAAAGGTTATACAAATCTTGCCCTACATTTCCATACCTATTCGCCTACGGTATATAAATTAATTATCGATTAAACACAATACTGTACTATACTCTAGAATCTAGATTGGACAGAGGTACAAAAGATGCACAGAACATGCATAGAGTAAAGTACAATATTGTCCATCGCCCGTTTCTTCGTTAATCTAGTTAAAGTACTTGTAATACTAATACATCGATACTGCATCGCCTGTCATTGTAATTGCCTAGTATTACTCTAAGCTTTCTTTCTCATTGAGTAAAATAGTCTGTAAATAACCCTTTATGACCAGATGAATTGCATAATGATGATAATATATAGTATATATTGCTGCTCATTCATGTACTCTATAATTTAAATCAAATGTCTAAAGTTCAATTCAATAATGTTATTCTAAATCTGCTAATGTAATAGTCTAGTTCATTCACATTGTGATAAGTACATTACAATAAAAACTCAATTTTAAAACAACTGCAAGGTATAATACAGTATAACTAATTATATCTGTATAAGCTAAGTCTTAATGGCTTTCTTGTTAATACAGTATGGCGAAAGAATTGAAATGAAATAAAGCTCTTCTCAAATTGACCAAGATATAAATCATTCTTGAATGCATCTAATTAATTCCTTTTTCACCTCATTATAGAGCAGCAGTGATTTGTATTGGATGTTTATATGAGAAAATGGGCAAAATGGTAAGCTTCTCCGTAATAAAATTTGTTGACATATGAGTATAGTAAGATAGTATTGCATGTATTAATTATTTTTTGTATCATAAAACTATCTTGGACAAATTATTGGATATAATTGATCATTAATAATTCATTGAGTAAGAAACAATATTACTTCGTGAGTTCTAGTAGCATGTCATTGCTAGTTAATCGCTATAATCATTAAAAGTATAAACGTCCCTTCTCATCAGTGTAGCCGAGATATATCTATATAGCAGGTGATGTAATGATTAGGTAACACTGTGCACAACTTATTGACGATCTACTATTGCAATAAAGGGATACAAGTCACTGTAATGTATCAAAAATTAGTCTAAAACTTGATATATGTATTTGTGTATTTTACAATGAACAAACTTTCTTTGAATCATATGAATTATTATGATATTTAAACCATTATACTTTTTCTGATCGTCTTAGTTTGGATTCACCCTAAATGATGCTGTACAATCTCTACTTCGATACTTGAAAGTAGCAGAGGTATTCTAATAAGTTATAAATGTAGATACAGTAATTGCTATAATTTAATAAATATTTAAGCAAATATTGCAAAAATTTAATATAAAATAATCGTTTCAAAATTACTTTATCTTTCTACCTTAAATCATTCTCAATGTTTGACTATTACAACTTATAAATTAACTTTCATTTATAGTATCTTTGCTTAAATAAGACTATCAATAATACGGTAAACTTATTAGGTAACGTACACTACCTCTGTGTAAACTAATGAGCTTTGAACTGTTAATTCAGGCGGAAGGTCGTCGTGAAGTTATGGTTGCATTAGAAAAAATTTTATCCGATCTGGGGGCTTCAGCATCTTCCGTGTATAAAGATATTTATAAAGCTATTAAATATTATGCTTGTGATCGTGCATTAATTGTACGTGCCGCAAGTATAAACGTAAGTAACAGAGAGACCTATTTATGCAATTTCGATATCATTAAAATTTTACCCTTTTAATGCAGTTCTGCTGATTTAATCTATACTTAGTACGATCTCTTTTGTATCATTGACTATGTAAGTGTATGCACGGTATGTTTGAGCCCTAATTAAGTATATTTTTCTGAAAAGGTGGCCATTGCTATGGCAAAGGAAGCTCCGTTCTTATATACTACAGAGCTAGATAATATGGTATCGTTATGCTTTCGTGTTCTAGAAGGTTCAAATTATGATGTGCGCTGTGCAGTTGCGGAATTATTAGGCCAACTTGCTGCCATGACTCAGCATATGGTATGACTCTTAGAATTTGCAGTACGCATACTATGATAAAAAAATTTTAAATTTGTAATCTTACAGGAAATGTACAGTTATAACAATTCTATGAATTTGTACTTCCACTGGCTACAACATTACTAAACTTGTTTTTATCTCTATTTTTGTTGATAAATTTGGCCTAATTATATTATCACTTGTAATATTACATAAAGTTAAATCTGTGTAGTAAATATCTTTTCAATTAAATTTTAAGGCTCCTATCCGCAGTGTTTCTACCAAAACTAAGCGTGCTTCGTTGGATGATGTACTAAATTTGCTGTCTGCTGGCTTTATGAAAACTGGAACTGGTTTTCTAAAAAGCGGCAGTAGTGAATCACTAAAGGGTAATACAGCTTCAGAAGTTCGTGTGGGTGTTGCTCAGGTATGATTAATGAAAGCGATTGTATTGGAGTGCAAATGCTAATAACGTATTTTTAAATTCATAGGGTTATGTAGCCTTCTTTAAACTAATGGGTAGAAGATGGATTGAGCAAAATATGTCAAAAATAATTAATCATGTCATAGAAATTGTATCTATGCCGAAGGCTGCATCTAGTCATGTTCAGGCTGTATATCTTAGGCAATGCATCCTTTTCATACTCAGAAATGTACTTAATAAAATGCTTGGAGAGTCCTCTCAGTTGGTAGCTGTTAGGGAGCTGTTTAATATCATTTTCAAGAAAGCAAATTCTGCTCTATCGCTTAGCGATAGTGATAGTGGTAAATTCAAGGATATTTGGCACTAATTGGATTTTACTGGCTAATGTCAATTGTGCAACGGTTTGAATACAAATTTATTCTTTCATTTTTTTTATTAAAAATTGTAGGTTCCGAATTTATTGGCCTTTCGCATGTTCTTGTGTGCGGCTTGCTTGAGGTTGGGAATTTAATCCAATCCTTAGGCACTATCTCGAATCCGTTCTTAACGGAAAGTACCAATACTGGTAGTAATACTGTCTTAGAATCAATAAGCTCTGTAATGCTATTACCAAATGCTGGTGCACGTCTCGCTGCTGCTTGGTGCTTGCGTTGTATTGCTATTGCTTCCCCTTCGCAATTGACTCCTTTGTTGGATTGGTCCATGACGAAATTGAAAGAACTTAAATCATCACCAGAAGCTGTCATTGGTTATGCTCATATTTTAGCTGCTCTTGTAGGTGCAGTATCACACTGTCCATTAGGTATCCCTTCAGCGAAAGGCCGTGTAAGTATGGTACTATAATTTTAAATACCCATAATATTTATTATGATATGTAAACCTGTTTCAATAGGAATTATTCAAATATCTTAACTATATAGACAATACGATTTATGTTATATGATATACTATATTACTAGCACTATATAGTATTCACGCTTTTCTTTTTTTGCCTATACACCTATAGGACGTATTTTTATTAGCAAAAGATCTACTAACAACTCAGAATAATGAAAATATCCATCAACGATTACTAGGTGGATGGGCAATTGTTGGCGCACTTATGACTTTGGGTACTCCGTTTATTAGATTGCATTTGTCTGATCTCATCACATTATGGTCCAAAGCTTTCCCTAAATCTGATAAAGAAGCGGAGGAAGAAAAGAGTCGTGGTAATGCAGCCAGCTGGTTGATCATTTTAGAGAGTAGAGCTGGAGCTTTATGTGGTCAGTAAAATTGCAGACATTGTTTGCTTGTGGCTATTAATTAACACCTTACTAATCTGTTTTCAGCTATACGCAACTTTATTCATTATTGTGGAGATTTATTCACGGAAACTATATCTGGACAACTTATGGTTGGTATTGAGTATGCTGTTACATCATTACGCAGGTAATTTCATATGAGATTTTCATGTACTCTACATCGTAATGATGTCCTTAATACTTACAAAATTATTACTTGTATTCTTCTAGCCTTTCAACATTAGTAAAGAATTACACTGTACAAATGAAAGCGGCAACCGCAATGTTTCGTTTAAGATTGTACCAAACGCTGCACCTAATCAAGCCAGTTGTTTATGAAAGTAAATTGCATAAATGAATAACGATTTAAAATTATTGACGTATATTATGACGCAGTGTCATGAGTATAAGTCATCCAATTAAAATTTTTCATATCTATTATTAGGTCTTCTAAGAATTTTAGCTGAACAGTTGGTGCACGAATTTACCTTAAGTGACAATCATTCCAATACAACAACATCTCTATTGCGTAACATGTGCCATAAAGATGATACAATTATATTAGGATATTGGTTGGCAGATACCGACAGTAAGGCGGTAGAAGATCAGTTGCAGCCTAATAGTGCATCTGGTTCTGGCGCACTTGAACATGATCCAGCCTGTGTATATTCATATCAAGAAAACACTACAAATATGGTAATCAAATAGATACATTTTAATTTAAACTACGGTCACCCTAACCTATACTATTAATTGCGCAGATGCAGCCAACCCCAGGACCACTACCTTTGGGAGTTGCCGTCATTGATTCAGCTATTACTTTGTTTGGTGTTGTGTTTGTTAACGTTACTGAAAAGCAGCGAGTGCAACTGTTGGAACACTTTTCAACTTGTATCAAGCAATCTAAATCATCGCGACAACAAGCTGTTCAAATTAATATTTTTACCGCATTTCTTACAACGCTAAAGGTAATATATATATCTACACACTTACAATTACTAATCAAGCCATATTTATTTCTTATTATAATATATCTATATAATTGACAGGTGCTTTCAGAAGATAAAAAAGGACTTGGACAAGAAGATGTCCGCACACCAGCCTATAACTTGATTATGGTAGGGCATCAATGATTTATACTCATAGCTTATTTACGGCTACAAGCATGGTATCATCCCTGTTTATAATGTTATAATATACTAAGACATTTTGAAACAAACAATTAGTCCACCTTAGTAAATCCAGATTCGCTGTTGCGATGCGCTGCTGGAGAAGCTCTTGGTCGTATGGCACAGGTTGTCGGTTTTCCAGCATTTGTGGCTCAAACGGCTCAAAATTGCTTCGATAATTTGAAATCTACTCGAAACGGAATATCTAGGACGGGTCATTCACTTGCTCTTGGTTGCTTACATAGATATGTTGGTGGTATGGGATCAGGGCATCACTTGAAAACAAGCATAAGTATCCTGACAGCACTAGCACAAGATACCTCATCAACTTTAGTTCAGGTATATACGATACATGCACTCTGCTACTAGTATTAATTATTGATTCATGAAGACACACATATTGAATACAAATGCAAATTTTAACGTCACCTGAATATGTAAATGTCAAATAGGTATGGGCTTTACATGCATTAGCATTGATTGCTGATTCTGGAGGACCAATGTTTCGGTCGTATGTCGAACCAACGTTAAACATGGTCAGATTGTTATTGCTGTCAACTTCTTTAGCTGATGTTGAAGTTTATCAGTGTCTGGGAAAATGTTTAGCAGCTATGATAACAACTGTTGGCCCAGAGTTGCAAGATACGTCATCTAGCATAACCAAAGTTAGAGATGCCTGCTTTGCAGGATGTGTAATTATGCAGGAGCATCCACATGCTCTTGTAAAATTTGAAGCTATTAACTGTTTTCAACAGTTACACATGTTCGCATCAAAACATGTGGATTTAGCGTCATTAGTGCCGCGATTATGTTCAACCCTATCAAGTCCACATTTACAACTTCGTAGAGCTGCCGTTTCTTGTCTGCGTCAGTTTACGCAACGCGAAGCTCAACAAGTTTGTGTGTATGCGAAAACTGTTAGCAACACTATCAAGTCGGATGATAAAACTAGTAGTGCCTATCTTATTGGTCAGAAGGGCTTGGAAGGTGTTCTATTTGGGATGTTAGACAATGAATTTGATCCACAGTTAATTACAGATATAAAAGACATTCTTGTTAGTATTCTTATAACCCTTGCCCCAACCAATCTATCACATTGGTTGTACCTTTGTCGTGATATACTATCGGCTGTATCGTCAGATAAAGATCGTAAAGGAGGTAGTAAGGTTAGTAATCATATTAATATCATTTTTAGCTTATATATCATTATATTTTTATGAGTACTTCATAAAAGTAATCGTTTAAAATTGCAGAGCGGCAATGCTCCCTTAGCATCGAAATTATCTAATCAGGATAATGATGATGATGATGATGGCGAAGGCACGACAGATGATGCCAAATTTGCAGTTTCGTCAGAGCCTGAAAGTCATGCTGCAGTGGCGCCAAGGTGGCCTACTAGAGTTTTTGCACTTGAATGTACACGTAAAATAATGGATACATGTGCAGAAATTACAGAACACTTAGATATGACTTTAGCGCATCAAATGAAACAAGAGAAAAGAAGCGGTATAAAAATTCAACAAAATTATAAATTGTGTAATTTGAATGACTTTTATCCTTTAAGTAGAAATAATGGAAGTAAATATTCTATTTAAATTCTAGTTGACTATTTAGTAATGCATATCTCAACGTTGATTCGGATATCGTTCATTGCTGCAACTTCTAATGCAGATCAACTTCGTTTGGCAGGCTTAGATAGTTTACAGGTTACTGTATAATACGTTATTTCTGTGAATTAAATTTCTAATATTTACTTTAATAGCTCAGTTACTAATTGTTAAGTAAAATTTACCTTACAGGAAGTCATTCGGATTTTTGCCACAATCCCTGACGTGGAATTTCCCGGTCATGTCATTTTAGAGCAATATCAAGCTCAAGTAAGTTTTGCACAGCCACAATATTAGATATAACTTGTATGCTTTTATGAGTTAGAACATACTGAAGTATCACCAGTGAATTGAGCTTTGTATGAATTATTCATAGGTTGGTGCTGCTTTAAGACCAGCTTTTTCATCGGATACTCCACCGGATGTCACTGCTATGGCATGCGAGGTATGAAAATGAATCGTGATAATTTTATTTAAAAAGTACTTATTGTAATCTGCTGGGAAGTAATTTTTACTTCTTATAATCGTTAGGTTTGTAGTTCATGGTTGGGGAGCGGTGTTCTGCGTGATGTCAATGATTTGCGTAGGGTACAACAACTACTAGTTGCTTCCTTAGGCAAATTAAGATTCATTAAAGATGATTCTGGACAAACGTATAGTGAAAGTGCCTCAACAATGGAAAAACTTGCTGTCTTAAATGCTTGGGCTGAGGTAGACATCATGATGATTTGAATACTATAACTTATCTAGGACAATTATCTGAATAATCTACGCTGACCTTTTTAGGTGTATATAATCGCAATGAGACAGGAATCGATTGACGCCGATGGTGAGGGGTTTTCTGCCAACTCTGATGCTAATTTATCGGGGGAGCCAAGTTTAATTCATCTTGTTCAACCAGATTTAATTACGTTAAGCAAAAATTGGTTAGCTGTCCTTCGTGATTGTGCTTTACTGTCATTACCTTCTCAATTGTTGATGCACCTCCCCTCTTCAGGCGGTGTTTTCTTCAACCTGTCTAGTATGGAAGCCACACGCCCTCACTATAGGAGAGCATGGCCACCAATACTACATGCTACAGCGCTATGGCTAAATAATGGAGGTTTTCATAATTTAGAAAAGGAACCAGAGATATTTACTGCTGTTTTAAATATTAGAGGAGACGCCGCTGATCCTAAAAAATTTAAAAACGATCAATTTAATTTACTATTTGGTTTATGTATCGAGGCACTTTGCTCAGCTAAGACAGTTCAAGATCCCCGCACTGTAGCGGCTTGTTTGAATGCAATATATAATCTATTAGATTCAAAATGGACAAGGGAGGTGGTGACACAGGATGTCATGCTTGTAATCGAATTACTCAATGTAATACATAGATTACTACTAATGAGAGAGAACTTAGGGACACAAGTATTAGTTTTAGAGGTTGTAACTCAAACTGTTAAGTCCGTTAGAGAGAAATTAGAACGTGAGAAGTCATTAGCTAACAGCAAGGATAGTCTTGGTGAAGGTGGAGATACTGGAGATATTTTACCTGGAAGAAATGTTGCCTATGCTATTATGGAGGCTTGTGTTTGTGTTTTATTGCGCCAGATACCAAGTCTTAATCCTCCTGACGGTACGCCTAACTCGGCAGTTTCCCAACAATATCAAAGTAAACCTTCGGTACTAACTGAAAATGGAACGAAATTAGTTTGCGTTGCCATTGGAATACTTGCTTCCATACCAGATATTTGTTCTCCAGCGGGTAGTTTGACTGTATTACCGACGATTCTTTATCTTACAATTGGCGCTTTAACTGAAAGTGGCTGCGGTCGAGTTATAACTCCAGATCTGATCGTTAGTTCAGTTCTACAAGCGTTATGTCGTCTATTTTCCTCGTATCATCTACAAGATGTAGAAATCGGTGACGAATGGATTAGATTATTTCAAAGTTCTTTAGCTACGTTACTTCACGTGACAAATAAACAGAATCATGGACAGGTAATGGCTGGCTTAAGTAATAACAATCTATTGCAGTGTTTAGCAACCTTCATTCTATATGGGCCTAAAGCGGTAACTTTAACAGAATCTCTGCATAAAGATTGTACTTCTGTATTTGAGACATCACTGAAACAATCCGATCCTCAGGTAAGTAACATTATTTTTTAAAATGTGCAATAATCACGTACATTATTGAACGGAGAATGCCAGAATGGAATGTTTCTTTACTTATGAATAATCGTTTTTCTTTCATCTGCGAATACAGACTAAATTGCAATGCTTGCAAGTTTTATCGAAGATTTTTCAATGTACTGATGAAGAAATTGCGGTTCCTTACATCAGGATTTTAGCTCCTCATGTAATTATGATTATCCATGAGTCAAAGAACCAGAAACTTCAGAATGAGTTGCAGTTGAAGGTCTGTTCCGAGGCCATTATCATATTTATTCAACTGCTTGAACAAACGGATGAAATTTCCAGTAAGTTTTCTTTACGTTCTCAATACAAACTTTAAATTATTTTCATGTATCCAGCTTTGTTCTTATCTTAATTTTAATCTTTCTTACCTACTAGGATCTCATCTGCTAGTCTTGCTGATCCCAGTACTGATCGACTGCTTGCTGGATGCCAATGAATTCTCGAAAGCTACGAGTGCAGCCGTAAGTCTACATGACTATTCTCTGTCACAATTAATGAATATTGGTCCGAAACACCCGCAAGCCTTTAAAGCCATTATGGCTAATTCACCCAATTTAAAGCAACGCCTGGAATCCGCGATCAAGCACAAACAAAGTAGGACAGCTAAAAAACAATCAACTGCGACTGCTAGAGCGTCTCCTATTTCAACTACACCGACAATACAATTAAAGATGGATTTTAGTAACTTTAAAGGAAAGTAAAACGCTTTGTTATGTGCAATATTAATGCATGTATGAATTTGATTCTTTATAGAATTTAAGTCTGTACTCGTGTTTTAATCTTTGAGGCCTGAAATAGATATCTAAGTGCCATATCTAATAGTATGTCATTGACATGATGAACGAATAATCTACTTAAATGACTGCTATTTATTTACACTTGAGCTTATGTAATTAGAATCGCTTTATTCAAAGTGTTGTTGCTAGCTTGTTTATAATCTGAATACTTAAATGCAAAAGTATAACTTGTATGAAATATTATTCAGAAGTAATGGCCACTGATGGCACTATTTACATCAGGCTTTTGTGTCAGTACTACAAGTTGTCAATATTTTGTTGTTGCTGCCACGATAACATCCATGTGATGCGTTCGCTTAAAGAGTTCGTTTTTTAAATTTAAGGACTTTTCTATATATCAGGAAAATTTTAATTTATACGAGATTTGAAATTCTAATTTGTAGGATAATATATAATTAATTAATGATTGGACGAAATGATATATGCACGGCTATTTATCGATTTATCCTTGCAAATGAACTTATTGATACAGTTATATTCCTAGCATTAAATTCCTAGCACATGTATATAGTTTTATTTTAGGATGATGTTTAGTGAATAACAGAAATATGATTGCATCTGACGCTTAAAACAAACACTCGTTCTTTGTACAGTACATTTAAAGTGCTACTGAATAAATGATTATGTTTTGCATGACAATTTATCAAAAGTAATTGCTTTGCTTTGTAGCTGTGACACCTGATTTGTTATCGACATAATAAAAATGATGTTATATATACACATAAATACGTAGACGAATATATCCGATGATTTTATTTTTTGTAAAAACATTGCATCAACAGATACGAAAGTAGGCACGTTTAGCTAACTCTGCGTTGGAGTTTATTAACTGATTACCCTCCTTGTAGCTAACAGTGCAGTGGTGGACAATGTACTGATCGGAAAGCTAGAAGAAGAGGGAGAGATACTATCGTATAATCCAGCTGTCAATTTCATTTAAAATAGTAATAGCGTTCCATCGGCTTTAATGGTGTATACTAAGATATATGCACGATATAGATTAAATGCTGTTAATCATGGTTTAATGCAATTCTTAAGTATGAATCATACAATTAACATTATCCTATTTAAATTCAGTCCTACTCTTCAGTATACGTCGAATAACACATATGCGTACTATAAATATTACCGTAAGGGTATACGAGTGGAGCGTATGTGAGGATGATATTTATTAATAATTCATAAAATGATTTCAAATCAAATTATTGACCGATTCCATGAAGCTTCATGATCTCCCCTCGTATGTCCTTTGCATTTTTTATCAGCAGCTTTAGTAGCCATCTTATAACACATACATGATTAAATTAATGAATATACTTAAAACAATAAAGTTGCGAATGACATAAATTGATAAACTTTAAAATTTGATGAAAATTGTAAACAATTTCTGTTTTAGTTTCATATACTACAGAGCCTAACACTCAGAGATGTCTTGGTGATTATTCTTTTCATCTTCAGTCTCTGATTGCTTCCGAGCCAAATCAACTCTTGACTGATATGCGCCGACTATTTTACGTAGTCTTGCTCTTTCTTTGCTTACGTGGTAATTGCAATAAGTCCTAAAATGACATGTGATCATAAATTAATGCACCATTAAATTACATCAGTAAAATTCTACCGATATTATTAGTGTAATGCTGACATGTTTCATAATTTATAAACTAATTGTGGCTATTTTTACCAAGTAACGCATTAACAGCAATACGGTAATAACAAAGATGCAAACTTGAGACATGATGTAGCGTGGATAGTAAAGCAATTTTCTTACCAGAAAGATAAGGATACGACAGCAAATGATGCTACAGCATAATCACAAGACCTTCTAACAATTTCTATGAGAAATAAAGGCAAGTAATATTGGATTAGTACTCTATCTATAAAGTAGAACAGTGTATGTAGCTTCTACACTTTCATTCTATTAGGGAGGGATTCATGTCAGTAGATGGTTAGTATTGAAATTTCTACTTTATTTCAAGATCTTATTAATACTTACTAGTTCTAGTGAAGACTAAGGCTCCTACGACCAAACCGCCAGAAATTCCATACAGAAGCGAAGATCTTGCACAGGGTACTTTTTGATAGTCAAAGTGCCACCACTGCTAATCAAGAAACGGCTATTAGCTGTTTTCTTATAGATTATTACTATTTTATATACATTGTCGTAGAACTACTGCAATATGATCACGCCAGACACCTTTATATTTGTTATCGGTACGTATATTAATCTGCTCGCATTGAGAACGTATCAAGGTATAAAATACATTTCTAGTAGTAAATGCAAATAGTACGATATGTGTAACAATCTCAACAACATGATGTCAACATGTAGTCATCGTTATGGTATAACTACAGTATCCATTGTGTATCATCAAAGGGTCCTACAGGATATAGTCCTTGTATACTACGGCTCTAAGTTGCATCTCACGTAGAATAATATTGCAATGCATTGATATTTAAGAGCATACGTCCATATTGCATTGCTAGCAATGTCGCTGCAACAACTAGATAGCTAATAACTGAGATGAATTTGATCTTACAATATACAGTATAATTATGTCTATACGTTTTATCTAACAGTATTAGTACAAACATACTACAGCATAACTAACGGTATACTGTAGGATTATATATATTGATTGTACAGGATATCCTGTCGATCGAGGAACATCCATGGTTATTCTACGAGTGTCCTTGTAGCGTATAGGGCTAGCATAGGGGCTGCATTGATCATGTAGCCATGTATTGAAGACATCTGATAGTCAGATTATTATATCACTACCATAGTGGCTAGATAGAAAGAGCAGCTCAACGCTAACGCAATTCTCCTTCTCATCATCATGATCACTACTATGAAAGAGGAAGTTATTGGAGAACATTTTACCTTTCTTGCAGGCTTGGCTGAATTATCTACTTTATCCATTTGAAGCTAATCCATCATCCATGTAAAGCACAAAAATAAACATTAATATGAATTGAATGAAAAATAGATAAAGTGGATAATATTGTTGAAAACTTGATCTACATGTTTTTACCTGGATTTACACAATCTATAACGATCGATGATCGCTGAAGAGAGTCGTAAAAGCTGCTTCGGAGAACAATTTGAAGGCAGATCAAGCAAGCTCTTGCAGGACAGAAGGAATCCAGTCATAAATCAATTGGCCGGTAGGTATACAGCTCATTCATGAGTCCTTCCTTACTAACCTATCACACTACCAGTTACTATGGGATTTGATTGATGAACGACTGTGATTTGAGGCCTATGACTGTCATCGCGGAATCTTCGTGGCTACAGTACACAGAAACGGCCGTACTGTAGTTTACAGTACAGTGTACTGTACTACGCTCAATAATAAATAAATAATAATAATAATTAACATGGAGGCAAGAAACGCGTAGCTGCAAATTCTTTTAAAATTAACAACTAGCTTTTACTCTCTCTTTATTGTATTGAAAGAGGACGACGTATATTGCTGGAAATTGAACGCTGCAAGCTAAGTTTGGGTAAGAATGAATAGAATTGATAGGGGTTACCGTGGGCTGCAATTTTCAGCGGAATCTTTTCTATATTTGTTTAAAGTAGACATACAGTATACGACACCACAACATTTACTTTAAGTCCATAATAAACGATCGATTTAGTCACTTGAACAGGACTATGACTACGTCTTTGTATGAATCAACTAGCTATTTACGGCAAGTTGGATTGGGTTTTAGACATGTAACATGTTAGTCAGATGTAGTCAAGGCTTGGACAGTGGCAAGTATAGTAATGTGTCATTTGCATGAGCACTGAGCAGGTAGGGTAGATGTAGGGTTGTTTTGCAGTCATCAATTGCAGAGCTCTGCAATACAGTATAGACTACTGTTTGCCTTGATGGTCAACTCAGTGATTCAGACTCGTCTTGAGACTCTGAAGAGTATCAACTATTTATTAATTTAGCTTATTTTTCTAGAACTATATTCTACACTCTCAAACAGAGAGGCTAGTTCCAGAACTAGTCTATACTGTATAGACATAGATCGCTCGTCTTCTACACAGTACAGTATATACTGTATGTATATGCTACTATACTGTACTGTATATATATACAGTATACAGTAGATATATATATATATATATATGTATATTTATATGTTACTCTACATTATATATATACTGTACTGTATATACAATATAGAACATACAGTACAGTACTGTACAGTATACTGTATACTGTATGTATATGCTACTATACTGTAATGTATATATACCGTACAGTATACAGTAGATATATGTATGTATATATGTATATATATATGTATATGCATATGTTACTATACATTATATATATGTAGATGTAGATGTTACTCTACATTATATATATACTGTACTGTATATATACAGTATACTATATATATATATATATATATATGTATATGTATATGTATATGTTACTATACATTATATAACAGTACAATATGAATGTTCAATGTCTATGTAATGTACCATTATTATGATATTATACATTATATACGTTATATATAACAGTACTGTACGGTACAGTACTATCGCATCACGTAACAGTATCATACCAGCAGGCGCATAGTCACATGACCTATATATGTCGGGCCGGGCGGACGCTAGCAGACATAATCCTTCTTGCATGATGGAGGACGAATCGAGTGGATGCTTCGGCGTTCTTGAATATAACACTGCTAAGATTGTCCATATTAAAAGTAAAAAGATTGGAATCCTTTATCGATTAGTTCAGTTAATTATTGTTGGCTATGTTATAGGGTAAGTTGGATCAGAAAACAATCCAAAGGCGTCGTGATCGACCGATAGGCTAACAGTCCTGCAATCAATTGCAAAAATGCCCTCGATCGAGGCGATTTACTTGCCTGAAAATTGTCATCATTGCATGATTTATACTGCCTTTTCTATCATTATTCTAGTTATGCAATCGTCTACAAGAAAGGATATCAAATATTCGATCAAGTACAAAGTTCGGTCACTTCCAAAGTTAAAGGAGTGCGTTTACTAATTTTAGCCAAAGTGATCCATCGATTGGAA